AAATAGTCTGGAGCAACAGAGAGACAAAGTTTTAGAATACATATCGTATAATTCTCTCAACAGATATAACCTTTTTCCTGAGATAGATCGATAAATCATCATCATCAATCTCCTTATCCTACTCCCGTAGGGTCGGCACAACAGGTTTTTGTCCTCCAAATAACTCTAGATAGATCGATAGATACTGTCTTAAAATCGATCACTTCACTTGCTTAACAATTTTACTACTGCAAGTACCATAAAATCATAATTCTTTATCAGGTGCGGCGGCGGGCCAAAATGCGCCCCCAATCGCTTCCGCCAGTAGGTGGCAGGTCTTTCTAGACCCACCAGCACTAGGATAGATTAAATTGCTATAACTTTGTGGACACATAATATGTAATGTATACATGTGTTAATCGTTTCGCAATAGCGAGAGGGACATAGTTTTTTCCGCGCCAACTTAAGTACCGCGTCAGGCCGATATCGGCCTGTTACGCAGTGAGCATGGTAAACCAAGCTATAATACCTGTTACATTTATAGGAACGCGAGTAAGTAGCGTATTGATTCTATACTATCTCTAGATAAAGATAAAATGCAGCGCTAACAAAATATCAGTTATCAATGTAATCGCGTACATCGAAATTGCAAATCCTAGCATAAAACATGTTAAACTAGTGATCTCCTGCGACTGCGTCAGTTTGGTTCTGTTTAAATCGTCTATCCGTATTGAAGATTACAAGCGTGGATTTTAAAACAGACAAGAATTAAAAAAGTTGGTTTGGTTATCAGCAACTCAAATAACATAATTGGGTTCTTATGTTTATATACGAGCGGTTGCCCGCGACTTCGTCCGCGTGGTGTTAGAAAACATACGAACTATATAAATTACAAAAAGCTACGTATCCCTCGGGAACCGGACATTTCTCGGGGATGAAGCTTATCCTATGTGTACTCCAGACTTTGTTTTATATCTGTGTCAAATTTCAATAAGATATGTTGAACCGTTGCAGAATGATCGAGTAAACATTAAAAAAACTAAATTAATGAATCCCACGGGAACCGTAACTATTCCCGGGATAAAAAGTAGCCTATGTGTTCTTCCAGACTATGCTCTAAACCTGTGCCAAATTTCATGGAGATCCGTTCAGCCGTTTAGGCTAGAAATGCTAACAAACGTCCATCTATCTATCCATCCATCCATCCATCTAAACTTTCGCATTTATAATATTAGTAGGAATCATATTAGTAGGATTAGTAGGATAGACATATATATTAGTAGTTATGTATAGATTGTTTTATTACAATAGGAACAAGGGGATCTATCATCAGATTTACGTATACAAAGTTATTAGCTCGGAATTACTATGTTTACAAAAAAAACATGCATCTACGAAGAGTCTTAAGATATTGTTGTTTACTATTTAATTCGACAGTTTCATTAAAATTCAACAAGCGAGTTTCTTATCCTCTAAAGTAAGTTAAATCCATGTTCTCACATGTAGAACACGTTTCATATCGTCTTTCAGGATTTAAATACACTTAATTAAGTTTAACTTCAATGCTCGTATGAAGCAATTACTTCAAATTTTAATTATAGTATCATACTTGGTACTTTTAAAAAATCTTTTTGAGAAGGAACATTGTAAAAGAATTGTACAGCACATTTTGCATCCACTACCGCCTTCAGTAAAACGCGAAATGTCACTGTGAAATAAATAGAGGTACTTTTTTCAGTTACTTTTTTTTGTCTTCATTAAATAATCAGTATATTTTTGTTAATTTACTAATATTTCCATTAACCATTCCAAATAAGCTCTAGACTTGTGTTAGGATATGGTTCACGACAATAGTCGAATGGCGGGATTCGAACCCTTGACCGCAACATCGGTAGTCCGTACCCCAAACCATTAGGCTATTGGCGCTTAGTAAGTACATAAATATCAAAGTAAAAAGATTGGATATAAGAGCGGATGGGTGTAGAGGTAGACCTAGAAAGAGATGGATGGATTGCGTGAAAGGAGACATGATCAAAAAATGCACTAAAAACAAAACAAAATATTCTCAAAAAAAACAGTACACTAAAAAGTAAGGAAATAATTACTTGAAAATAGTAAACCTACCT